TGAAAGCCTTTTCAGGGCATATGCTCAATATTCAAGACATGTCGAAAAAGGACAAGTTATTCACCATCATGGAAGGGTTGAAACCGTGGACACATACGGAACTTTAGAGACAGAAGGTCACTTATTTGAACGCGACCATGGGAGCCGCTAAATGCGTAAGTGACTATCGGCCCGAATCGAGAAAAGATTGACCTTCAGGAAATAGTCAAGCTATTGGAGGTGGAAACAAACCTTACAGATCCAGCTCGAACTTAAATGGGGGAGAGTATTACTCTAATAATAAGGGAGGAGCCTATCAAGGCACCCGTCAGAGTAACTTTAAAGGGAATTATCAAAACAGTCGTCAAGGGAATTATAACGGCAGCAGCAGTAATAATTGGAATAAAGGAAAAGCAACGGAGGGCCGATCTGATGTCACTCCTAAATTGATGTATTTTTTATGTGAAGGATTCCATTGGGTGGCTGAGTGCCATCAGAAAATGATGGTGAATGCATACTGTCAACTAGCGAGCGACGGAATGAGTTCAAAGCAAGATGTCCCCCAAGCTAGCTATCACGGGGAGACCGACTCCGAAGAGGATGAGGATGCAATTGGTGCATTCTCACATCGGTGCAATACACTATTGTACCTAGCTACTAAAAATGATGATATTCCCTCAAAAGAGATAAAGATGAAAGAATCGAAGTCTCGCATTTGTAGAGCCAAAGGCCTAATGTACATTGATGTAAAGATCAATGGAAAGCCAGTCAGGGCTATAATAGATACCGATGCTAACCACAACTACCTTGCAAGTACCGAAGTAGAGCGACTCAGACTTGTTCTGGAAAAAAGGTAATAGGAAGGACATTATGCCAGAAGAGTTACCAAAGAAGTTGTCACCAAGAAGGGCAATCGATTATGAGATTGAGCTTATTCCAGGTGCCAAACCGCACGCCAGGGCACCCTACCTTATGTCTTAGCCGGAGTTTGAAGAGTTTCGAAAATAATTGGGAGAAATGCTGGAAAGTGGGATTATCATGCCTGCGGAATCACCATATGAAGCTCCTGTGTTGTTTCAGAAAAAGGCCGATGGTTCTCTCAGAATGTACTGCGACTATCGAGCCCTGAACTAGATCGCTGTAAAGAATAGTTATCCTATTCTACTAGTCACCGATTGTTTCAACCGACTGAGCCGAGTGAAATACTATACAAAAATTGATCTCAGATCCGGATACTGGTAAGTTCGGATCAAAGAGGGAGCTGAAGCAAAGACTACGGTGATAACAAGGTGTGGAACATTCGAATCTAAAGNGAAGCAAAGACCACGGTGGTAACAAGATACGGAGCCTTTGAATTTAAGGTGATGCCTTTTCGCTTAACAAACGCTCTAGCAACGTTTTGTACTATGATGAATCAGGTACTTCATAGGTTCTTGGATGATTTTATGGTGGTGTACCTGAACGACATAGTAATCTACAACGAGACATTAGAGGAACATGTGCAACATGTAAGGTAGGTTTTCAATCGGTTGTGAGAGAATTAACTGTATGCCAAATCGTCTAAATGTTCATTCGCTCAAGCGTCTATTAGTTTTTTGGGTCACATCATCGAACAAGGTAAAATACGCATGGATACGAAAAAGGTTGAAGCCATCAAAGATTGGCAACCACCAATGAATGTCCACGATGCAATTACTACCGAAGATTTGTGAAAGGGTACTCAGAAATTGCATTACCACTTATCGAGCTGACGAAGAAGGAAAATGATTGGGACTGGTTATCCCAATGCCAAAATGCCTTTGGAAAGTTGAAGAAATCGATGTAGGCAAACCCGGTGTTAGCCTTGTCAGATATGGCTAAACCATTTGAAGTACATACTGATGCTTCAGACTTTACACTTGGTGGAGTCACATCCGATAGCTTATGAGAGCCAAAAGCTGAATCAAGCAAAGTGTCATTACTCGGCACACGAAAACGAGTTATTGGCGGTAGTCCATTGCCTTAGGGGATGGCGTCACTATTTGCTGATGTCTCCAATAATTGTGAAGACAAATAACACTATGGTGAGTCATATCATGTCCCAACCAAAACTGTCAAGCAAATAGGCTCGTTAGCAAGAACTTCTTTCAGAGTTCAATTTCATGCTAGAGTACCGTCCTGGATCTAGTAATCATGTTGCCGATGCTCTTAGTCACCGGGTAGACTTAGCCACCATTTGCTCTATGGCTGCTCTTTCAAGGAGCGCAATTACCACAAACACAGGGGATCAAATTCGGGCGCTTTTGGATAAAGACCAGGCTACTCAATATTCGGTCGACCTCATCAAGTAGGGAAAAACTCCACATTTTTGGCTCAATAGGGGTCTAGTGAAGACTAAGGGAGTTGTCAAATATTGGGGACTGCCTAAGGACATCATCAGTGATTGGGATCCTAGATTTACTGGCATATTTTGGACCGAGTTGTTCAAACTCGTTGGTTCAAATTTGAGCACGAGTTCTAATTTTCGCTCACAATCTGACACACAGACGAAGTGCTTGGAATAATATCTTCGGCACTTTATCTCTACTTCGTAGAAGAATTGGGTGAAACTTTTGGATACGGCTCAGATGTGTTTCAATGCCCAGAAGAGCTCTTCCACCAATAAAAGTCATTTTGAGATTGTTATTGGCCAGCAACCGTTACTCCCTCATACTGTGGATATCAATCAATGTACCAAGTCCCCTCAAGCAAAAAGCTTCTCTCAAGAGTGGAAACAAGACATTGAAATTGCTCGGAATTATTTTGAGAAAGGTCAGAAACGGTACAAGAAGTCTGCAGATCAAAAGCGCTATTTCTAGGGCTGTCATTGGATTGGATTTTGATCCGAATCCGACGAAATTCATGGGAGATGGATTTAGGGTTTCAGTCCGATAACCCGATCAAAATCCGAATCCGATAATCCGTTAACTAAATGGATCAAATATGGATATAGGTCAATCTGATCCGATAACGATCCGATCCGATTTGTTATAAATAATTGA